ATCTTGAAAGATCCAAGATGAGCAGTGAGGCTTCAGATGACCGAAGTATCTCTGACAGGATCTTACCCTTGCTCGAGATTGTTGAAAAACTTTTGGAGTCCGCTCATCCAGTATATGGAGCTGGAGAAAGCATATAAATGAATCCGGCGCAACAAGATGAGGGTGTGCATTCAAACATTTGATCGACGGCCCAATTACTACGAATTAACCAGTCATTATATGTTGATAGCAGGTACTGCGTCAGAGTAAATGATGTTGAGATCTTTAACTGTTAGCACCGGTCTCCGTGCTGGGTGCGCTCTGTACTGTCTCTTGTTCGTGTTATGCATGTAGTAAGATAGTAAGGCACAACAAGGACAATGAATGTATTATCTTAGATGTCGTGACAAGATGGCTGCTGTTTTCAGACGACCTTGTTTTGTTGGCTTCTTGTGAAACTAATGAAAGTAACTACGCACTCTGTAGAAAGTTCGCAGAACAGTGCGACGCGGCCGGCATACGTGTAAACGTATCCAAAACGAAAAGCATAGTGCCTTCTCGTTCTCCTGTCCGTTGCTCTCTTTAGATAAATGGAGAAGCAGTAGAGATGAAGAAATTCACTTACTTCGCGGTCGTGTTTACTGATAATGAAAAAGGGGAAAAAGAGGGACGATCAGGGAAAAGAATTCGACAGCGGCGTTCTGCGTGAACTAGTTCTAACCACTGTGACATAAGAAGAGATGAATTTAAAGACTTAGCTCAGTGTTCATCGGGTGATGCTGATCCACGGTCATGACTGAAAACTTCTATCCCAGATAGAAATTGCAGAAATGAGCGCTCTCTTAGACGAACCGACCAATTTACTCGAATCGACATGGACCGCAATTCAGATCTGAGAAATCATCCAGAGAGAGAAATTGACAGCTGCGATGGTCTGGATACGTCTTGCGAATACCTGCAGGAAGTAGAGCGAAATAGCTTTTACTTGCCCAAGCGACCGACCGAAGACCCAGGATATGGCGAGGATTAACCTAGGGCAAGTGTATAGGAAGACTCAATTCCAGAATCGGGTTATTCTCCACCGAAGCTCAAACGCTGGCACAAGATCACAAACATTGGCGACACTGCCAGATGCGTGTGCCTAGTGACCTGAAAGGATAATTGGTCGTCGGAACTGACTAAATGACTGACATTCATGCGACTTTCTACTAATTCTATTATGTAGGGCTCACTGGGTAAAATATGATTATGACTAATATAATGATTATTGTATCTGTACCTTGGGGTAATATGCAAAAGCAGTATCAGGGAGGAACATAAGTAATTTTCGCCTTAAAGAGTTGAGTCGAATTGAATCTATGCTCAGTTGTGGTGTGGACGCGTTACTGGTCTGCTGCACGAGTTAATCGCCTTTAAAAGCATTAACTCTTAAGTAGTCGTGCGATAAAAAGTAACATAACTACTCACTTTCAATCAACTGACCTATCACTTTACCCTTAAGCATATTAATGTCTTTTCTTCTTAGAAACATCGCAGCAGTATAGAAGAACATTAAAAAAACATGGATTTATGAAATCGAAAAAGAACAGCGGGTTTTATTAAAGCACTTCGATTTTTGTAAAATGCAATGTAGGAACAGTTCAAGATACATTTTACACATTTTCCGCACAATGTTAACGAATACTGTTATAATGACTTTTAAAAATAAACTTTTCTTAGATGTCACCAGAATATAGAGGAACAGTAAAAAATATTGATTTATTAAAGACATTTGCAAGACACCCACAGTCGCGTCGGGTGAAAATCTAACCGTCTGATAGACTAAATATACTTTCGACGACTTCAGCAGTACTGAAAGGAAGAGAAAAACAAATTAGGATATTACGCTA